TCGGGGAATTCACCCCTCATCAGTTGAGCTTGAGTAGGCTGAGGAAGATTGTGCCTGAAGAGCACCACTTATATAGTGCTCTCCAGGCACGACCATCACCAGGGATACAAACTTACAGAGACGCTCCGTTTTCAGCGCGACAAACACCTCGTGAGCACCAGATAGCAGCGTGAGTCAGTGTCGCTCCTGGACGGTGAGACAGACGTCGAGTCAGTCAAGTGTCAAGTAAAGTCGGCGGAATAGCGCGAGCTCCAGTGTGGGGAGCAAACCCTTTTCTTACAAATCATCGCCGAGGTCGCAACCACTACTTCGTACTGTTGTGCCCAGCGCGGGCTTGCGACTAGTTGGTTTGGAGGTGACAGCGTTGCGAATGACCGAGGGTCCTCGGCCTATGCTGGGAAGGGGGACATTTTGCAGGCTTCCATGAGACAGGCTACACAAGACAGGTATTTCTATGTATGTCAACACTAAAATCAGGCTTATGTGCCAACAATGTATCTTGAAAATCAGGCTTCTATTAAAATCAGGCTTCTATGGTTTTTTGGGTTTTTTTTTACGAGAAACCACGAACCTCGAGAACAGAATACTGCATGATAGAGGTGGTTGCAGACGCAACTGTGGTGGTGAAACTGGAGCATCTCCGCCGACCTGGGGTCTCGGCTTCAGCGACACTTCAGTGCACCAAAAACTGGGGAGGAGTAGGCACAGGGGGAGGGGAGGGGGGAGTACATTGATATAGAGGAAGGAAAACGGAAAGATGATACATGTGATAGATTAAAACAATAAAAATAATTAAAAATAAAGATAAAAAGGGGGAGCCAGGGTGCAAGCAGAGAGGGTCTTCCGGGAGTGTTCAGAGGGCATCTGTGGCTGAGTGCCAGTCTCGGCTGCGGAGAGACTTGTAGGCGCCTTCCTTGAATGCCTGCATTCCTTTCTGGGTGGGAAGGTTGCATAGCAGGGAAGATGGGAGACGATTCCAGTCTTGGATAGTGGCATGGGGAATGACCGAAGAGCACTATTACGGGCTCAGGCGGGCAGTGTCGGTGCTAGTTGGTGCTGGTGCTGGTTCTCTTGCTGGTGGCGAGTGGAGCGCCGGTGCTGGTTAGCAACTGCGCTCGGTGGTGTCATGGTGGTTAGGATTGTGGGACCGTCAATCCAATGCAGCTTGTACAGGCATGTGAGTGCTGTGACTTGATGCCGAACAGTGAGGCTTGGGAGGTATGACCCTGGGTCGATGAGCTTTAGGGCTCGGTGCTGTACCCGGTCCAGCTGGTTCAGGGTAGACTGGGACGCACCCAACCATGAAAGCGGGCAGTACTCAAGTACTGGGCGGACGAAGCCGCGATACACGGCATACTTGGCCTTGTTGTCGAGAATTGGCAGGGCCTTCCTCATGAAGCCAAGACGTTGGTGACCACGGACTGCAACCTGTCGAATGTGGGAGAAAAAGGAAAGGCTCCGATCGAAGAGCACTGCGAGCAACTTCAGCTCCTCCACTTCCTCTATGGCCACCCCATTGAAAGTGGCTGGAGGAATCGGCCAGGGTTGACTGTGATGCGAAATCGTCAAGACTTACAACTTTGCCGGCTCGAATGCGATCTTCCAGCTCTGGCCCCATTCAGCTAAAGCATCCACAGCAGTCTGGAGCTGCACTAGGCCAACTGGGAGAGCGGTCAGGGACGGGATGCACTGATAAAGCGTAGTGTCATCTGCATATATGGCGAGCTGGGTTGGGGCTGGGACGTGGTCCTCCATGTCATTGACATATAGGAGGAACAGAGTGGGGCCCAGTATGCTCCCTTGCGGCACACCTGAACTGATTCGGAATTTAGGTGAGGTTTGTCCACTCACAACGGCCTGGATTTGTCTATCCGCCAGGTAGCTTTGGAGCCACTTGAGGAGGTTCCCGGATACTCTGTAAGCCTTTGCCTTGTGAAGGACACCTGCGTGGGAGACTTTATCGAAGGCCCCCGCAATGTCAACGGCAACAATGTGTACAGCACCGCCAGCAGCTGCTATCTTGCTCCATTGGTGGTGTAGTCCTGTTAGGAGATCAGCAGGTCCTAACCCTCGACGAAAACCGAACTGGTGGTTTGAGTGTATATTATTTCCTTCGAGAAAGTTGGTGAGAGCACGGTTAACAACTGCTTCCATTGTCTTGGAGATGAGCGACAGGAGGGAAATGGGCCGATAGTTCGGAGGGGCTGACTTTGACCGTTTCTTATGGACTGGGATGACACTTACCACTTTCCAAGACTGTGGTTGTGTCCCCAACGTCATGCACTGGCGGAAGAGCAAGCATGTGCGACAGGCTTTAAAAATTAATACAAGGCACTACGGTAGTCTCTACCTGTATTCTCTTCGTGTGAACTGGTAATCACATACACACACACAGTCTTACTTCCATCTTGTCTTTACTATGGTCGCTTTGCACATTTCCCTTAACTCAGGGGCGTAGCACCCGCTACGACTGGTACGACCATGGCCGTACCACTTTTCG